AGAGAGAGAGAGACAGAGATTGAGCTGCTTGAAGTTCGCCCATTGCCGCTGCTTTTGCTGCTGGCTTGGCTGCAATGCTGCTGTCATTTTGCTGCTTCTACTTCAAACATTACAAAAGTGCGGACTAGCGCCAGCACTGCTGCTGCTGCTGCTGCTCCTAATCCTACTGCTACTGCTCCTCCTCCTGTTGCTGTTACCGCTACAACCACAGATACGAACACTACGACGGGCCCTGATGATGATGAAGCGACGGATGCATGACTACGATTACGACGAACTAGTGATGTGCACGCACAAAGTTCATGTGATGATCAGTCTATGGCACCGCCAATCTCACGCGGCCACGTAGTCTTGCCACCATCATATGTGCGCTCTGGCGTCGACAAGACCGGACGCACTTGTACCTACCGTTGAGTTCAGATGAGGTATCTAAGCAAAAGCCTTGAACACATGCCGCAGCCTCAGAAACATCGGTGTCTGTTTGAGTCGCTTTTGAGCTGTTTTCGTCTGAGACATTTATGAAGCACAGAAGCAGTCAAGTCGTTTCTCGCAGGAGGCACAACGCTCATGCAGGTGCTTGAACTGAGGCTACTCCTTTGGTGCTTGGGACCGCTTGTTCAAAGCACCACTTGTATCAGCCCAGAGCTCGTACATACGTTGCCTGTACCATTTGACGAGTCTTGCACTCTCTGGGTGTCCCAAGCGACGTGCAGGGTAAATCGATGCCTCTCTGCAGCCGTTTAAAGATGCAGAGTAGGAGGGGTGGCTTCTCTCCACTGGTTTTCTTCGCATTCTGCTATGATCCTACCTCCACTCGATAACTCTGACATGAAGTGTTAAAATCAAGATCCTTGCACGAATCGAAGCCTATTCTTGGTTCGCATGGCATCTGCACTGTGGGAGATTGCACATAGATGCAACACAGTGCCTCGGTGCCTAGCAGATTGTACAGGGCCCACTTAGATGTCGTCCGCTGGACATTTTGCACCGGCTGCTTAATGCGTCCCCTAGCGTCTCAATCATCCCGCAGGACAAAGCTGGTATGTGCAGGTTGTACCAACACAAGAACAACCAGTTGCTCATGAAACATATTTGGATCTCGGTTCTTGTACTTCCCACATGTACATGGAGCCAGCTGAAGTTCCTGAAAGCTGGGCATGGTTCTTCTAAATCAATCCCATGCCGAGTGTCCATTGCAGCGCGCTATCTACCCAGATCAATCGATGTGGCTATTCGCCTACCCGGTACGTCAACTTCCACACTTACGCGAAAATTGAGGGCAAGGAGCACAGCCTCTGGTTTCAGACTTTGGGTTTAGGGCCGACCACTCAACAGATTTTACCCTTCTGTGGACCCATCGTCTGAGATCTGGCAAGGTCCACTCACTCCCGGGGCGTCTGAAGCCAATACCACCGTGGCCTACGTCCTGGGCTTGCTCGTGGGAGCCGCATGGGAAACACACACACACACACACGTTTACTTCGCTTGGTATCCTTCGGAAGCAGACACGGCTTTCGAATCTCGAGGGGAAGGATTTATCGACACGGAAGAAAATTCCAAAACCCCATGGCAAGCTCGAATATACGCTCTCAACGCCCAAGGATCTGATGACCCAGCAAAGATGAGGGACGCTGCACCTCGCGGAAGGAAGAGGGCTCGCCCTCTCTCTCTCTCTCTCTCGCTCGCTCGCGTCTCCCGAAGAGAAAGGTGCTGAGGGTTTTAGCCTCTTGAAGGCATACTTCATAAAGACGAATGTTATTGACGTCAATAACGCTCCTTATCCGGATCTCTCACATGAGAGTTTCAAGCTTCCGACGCGTTGGGAGCTGACTTCTGCTAGCGGGAACTCTGAACCCTTCTATATACATCTATATGTTCGACAAATAATCTTGGTGATGATTCAGGCTTCCATAGTAAGCACAATTTGGCGATATAGACATACATACAGTCAAACTCCTGGCATGCCGGATTCGCTCGCATTCCTAAACAAGCTCCTGTGCTTAGCAATCACGTCCCCTGAAAAGGAAACGGCTTGAACAACCATCGGTATCAGCCTCCACGCCACCCAAAATTTCGATAATATGCATGAACTCGGAGCTGCCTGAAACCATATTCTTATTCCTGACACAGATTAGCAAGCACAGGACACCAGGGGTTGAGTCTCGTAAAGCAAGTCCAAGGGGCCGAGTAGTTGTCAGATGCAGAGGCATCGGAGGTGCCCAGCAGGGCCTGGTTTTGAGGATATTTTTCCGCAACCTCCCAGGTACCTACTATATAGGGTACTAGGACCCCTGGGGCCCTATATAGTAGGTACCTGGGAGGTTAGGGTTTGGGAGCATCACGAGGTAAATCATCCGCAGGATCACAGTACATGGCGGTCTATGCGGCTGTCTGATCGAAGTAGGCATCCAGAGCTAGCCCGCTCGCTACCTCTGTCACAGCAAGATCACACATGTAACTCCTGCAGGAAGCGACTCCGGTTGCCTCGCGCATTATCGCCTCCTGCT